CAGGCGAGTGCAGTCGTCACTAACACACAGTGCCGCCTGCCAGGCCCACAGAGGCGCTCCCAGGTGGGGCACGTACACCACTCCTGCTCGCTCTGGCAGCTGCTCCACCTCTAGACCCTGCATTCACCGCTCCGGCGGCCTTCTGGAGACTCAGCTGGAGATCAGATGGACTTTCTTGGCCGGATCTGTTATTGAGAACTCTGGTCAAAGCTCTTTTTAAGAGAACTCTGGTCACCATTGCATCCCAATGTGGGCAGCACCATTCCTGTGGTGTTTCTTGGGCACCAGAGCCTTTGACAAAACCCTTTGCTGTGGTGTGGTTTTTTTATTCTTCCACACACTCCCTCCCCTAGTATTATTATGATTTATTCTAAAGGATCTTTACTCTTTTTGACCTTTCTTTGTTTTTTCCCTCCTCCAATCAGTCTTGTTTTGGTACTAGCCTTTATGTGGAAAAGGTGTACTATGTCAGAGAAGGAGAATGTCTGGTACTTTGTGAGCAGTTTTCTATTCACATTTTTTATTTTGATTAGTTCTTTTATTTATTCTCTTGGGGCCCAGACACTTGGGGGCCAGCTGGTCAGTCCCCCAGCACTGTAGCATCTCTGAAGGAGACCAGGTACCGAGTGAACAACCCGAAGATTGCCACCGTGCTGCCCACTGGCCGAGAGCAAGGCTGGCAGTACACGCATCGGGCCACACAACAGGTGTAAAAATTTTGTGTAGTAAATAAATAAATAAATGTTTTAAAGAAGGACTAAAGAGCAAGTGGCTGCTTTAAGTGGGGACCTGAGGGTTTTGGGGGCTTGACAGAAAGGACAAGTGGTTGTACAGCCATAACAACAACCTGGTCCCTAAAGGCTGCTGTGCTGACTGCAGTAGATGTAGTACATTGGAAATGCAAAACAGTAGAACCAAGCAGTCAGCACTTACCCTTCTGATGGAGCAACAGGCTAAATTCCTGAAGAGGTTGTCAACACTAATCATCCCTACCTGTGTCCCCAGAGCTGCTGCTGGGACATGAACCTCCGCTTGGAGAAGGAAAAGGTTTAGAAATCTCCCTGTATTTCTGCAGTAACTCTTTAGGAAGCTGTTTACTCAGGGACAGAATGTACACCAGGAACCCGTGCCTACTCCAGGCGTTCTTACTCTTTCCCCCTTCCCTGACTACTGGCCAGGGAGCCAGGCTGGGGTCATATGTTTATTCTTGCAGATGGCTATCAGGGTAGGACCAGGACTGCATATGGTCCTGAAGGAGACCCCAGATGGCAAGAGCAGAAGGTCTCATTGATGTTTTAAGCATCTGTTTTTGCTTGTTT